TTGTTGTATTTTCCTGCACAGCTAACACATATATCCTGAAAACATTTGGGGAGAGACTCTTAATATTCAGGTTAAACCCAGTGTTCTTGTACACTCACTGAAAAGAGATCTAGGCATGTTTCAATGATTTTTAGTATAAACAGAAATCTGCTTTGGTATGTTTCTCAAGGAATAGGAAATGACATTTTGTTCAATTTGAACTTATTGAATTTATTCTCTGAACTCCTGAATAACAGCAATGAGAACTTGACAGGTTTAACAAAATGGAAATAGATCCCAAATGCCACTGGAGATTCAGGATACCAACATGGTAAGGCAATGTTGCAGACTTATCATCTGGACAAACGGCACAGTTTTTCCCAACCTAATGTGCTTAGATACTATTAGTCTACATTTTCCGTTTATTCCAAACAGTCTGATCAATGATCAAAGATTATGGAAGATGTGTCTAACAGTATCTGGAGACCTTGTACAGGGAAAGATTACCTTGCTGTTGTGCTTTGGCTACTTTTAATAGATTTTATGATAGTTCTATGTGTAGCACTGATGGCTTGGAGGTTACAAAATAAGTGGAAGCAGGATATATTGCCGAGGACTGTTTATGGATAATAGCTATGTCTTTGTGTGATATGTGATATTATTTTACGTGATGTAAAATGAATCAATTTTGAGCTCCGTTCTGCGCCTGAACCAAGGTACAGATTTAGCTAAAGCACACCTAAACCTGAATTAATTTTGGGCTCCGTTCTGCATCATAATGGAGCCCAATTGACACTCCCCTGATAAAACATCTGTTTAATGTTTGTTTAATATTTTATCAGGGGAGTGTCAATTTTGATGTTTTTTTTATTTTATTTTTAGCAATGGCATTGAATTGTTGCTAATACTGTGAAGTGCCCGGAGTTCCCTTCGGGATTGAGAAGGGCAGTATATAAATACCACAAGTAAGTAAATAAATAAATAAATATTTCAGAGAGCAACATGTCATAAACATTAAGTGTTCTTCCTCTTTTTAGAATGAACAGCTTTTGCATGTCTACATTCACTAATTGTAGACTAGTTTACCTTATGGTGACTTCTTCTTTAATGGCCTTTTCACCCCATTTATTTTCCTGTTTCTTCTCTCTCCCTCTTTGATGAAACCATGTGCTTGATTATATACAAGGAATATATAAATCCTGCTGATTTTGTATGTTTTGCACAGATTAAGCTTGCTTTTTCTCTGCCCAATGGCACATGAGGAGTGACTGCTGTTCAGCTTCTGCCTTGCCAATTTATTACTCTGCCTGAAAGATCCACTAATATTTTCCACATCTGTCTTTCACATTTCTGAACACCTCCAGCTGCAGACTTCCCTTGCTTCATAGCAGTGGTTCTCAACTTGTCAGTTCCCAGTTGTTCTGGCCTTCAACTCCCAAAAATCCTGGTAAACTGGCGGGGAATTCTGGGAGTTGTAGGCCAAAACACCTGGGGACCTACAGGTTGAGAACCACTGTTTTATAGGAACCTGAAAGGAGAAGTAACTTTGTTCACATGAATTTACTTACAGAGCTTCATATGACTGTGAAGTTATGACTGTGCCGTCACGCCTGGGGGCTATAGCTCTTAGTGAAAGAGGCATGGGCGTGACATCTTTCCCCAGAGGATTGCTTCTTGCCCTACTTTAGGAAACTGGAACTCTCAAAGACCCAAAACTGTAGATAACTCAAAATAGGATTTATTGTTCACGAAGAGTTATCTCTTTAAGGCAATAAGCTGGAAGTTTCAAAGGGGTGAAGGAAAATGTACATTACAGTCTCTGGTTGTCTTGGGTCCAAGAAGTTTTGAAGCTGAGAAGCTTTTCCAGGTCACTCTTTCTCAATGGCTGTAAATGCCGGAGCAATCCACAACCCCAGTCCAGATGGCCTATGTTTGAAGAAACAGGGTCTTCCTCTGGTGCCAAAGCGTCTGAAGGCGCTTGAGACTTCCCAACGTCGTTCAGGTTGATCTGAACATGAAGCATAAGTCTCAAGGGTAAAGACCTCAGAATTGGTGCTGAGAGGTAATTTAATCAGGGGCTTTTAGAGCCAAGTCTCTTACTCACGTCCATCTGATAGAAAATCTGAAGGTGGAATAAAAAAAGGAAGCACTCCCCTCTTCCAGGAAGAGGTGGAGCCAAACAATTGAGCTGAGAAAGCAATTTAACTGGTGCAAACAACACTGATTGACAGCTATAAATAACCAATCAATCCAACTATACATAAGCAGGGTAAAAAGGCAGGATTAAGCATGATACAACAGTTTAAATCTTGCAACTAACAGTTCTACATATAGGTGGCGCCACTCGCGCCGTCACAATGACAATTGTGTCACCTCTGACTTACATGTAATGAATTTGTACATTACATATGGTGGAGGCAGATCAATGAAGGCCAGATGCTTCCATGTCAGAATTTTATTCAAGACTTTAAAAGGAGCTATGCAAAGTGATGAACCCTATCCTCAAAAAATACTTTTTTTAGCATATGGAATAAAACCTGACAATATTTGACACTAACTAACATGGAAGCTATCAGTTGCCAGCAGGGTACATGTTGATCCTTATAAGAAAGAATGAAAAAAATGAATTAATGTTTTCTCATTTTACATGAAACATGTGAGAAGAAAGTTATTGTATACACTCCTGTAAATGTGACAGGGTGAATTTATTATCTCCTGTGAAGGAGATAATTTATGCAAAGATTACCTGTTTCTCTCAATAGTTGCACGGATTAATTAGCTGGTGTTCATCAAACTATGTGAAGATGAAACAACCAGTCAGAATTCCAAGTTTAATTGTATAAAAGCTCCTGTTTCTCAGTACATATAACTTCTGTGTTAACTTTGTGGGTTACATCTTGAAATTCAGCTCATGAGTTGGTGAATTATAGAAAGGTTTAGAACAATATCGATCTCAAATGCAGCCCTCCCAGAGGACCTCTGTCTCTTCTTGTCAAAATCAATGAGAAAATCATCCAAAGCCTTCAATATTTTTTGTGGTTTTATGAATACAAGTCAGTGCTATCTAATGATCCATGGCTTCAGATTTTTTTTTGGTGGGGGAGAAACCTATTTATCTCATTGGAATTGTGACTTAACTCACCCTACATACTCCAGTCCAATGAATTCTATGATTCCTCTACAAATAAACACAATCTGAAAGAATGTGGGTAGGACAACAGGACTATAACAGAAATTATATTATTGGTCATAAAACCCAACAACCTCATTTGTTATAGTGTTTCATGAAATATCTTTCCAAAATGTATAAACAGGACTGGTGTTGCTGCTGTTATTTTTAACTGTAGGATTATATTAATAAGTAGCTACTGGGGAAAGGAAAACAGTGGATTCAAATTGTCAGAGGTGTTGACTAATGGAGCTCCCTATAATGTTTCTGTAGCTTTAATGCTTTCCTTGTACAGATTTGCTTAGCCCTTTCTTTTTTTAGTCTCTCCCTTTTCTCCTCTGTACGCCCCTGTGTCCACTGTCATAGTATCAACCTGCTATATAATTGCTGCTTTGCTCGGGGAGTTCTTACCTTGCATTTATCTTTTTTTATTGACCTGTCCCAGAGTATATCCTTCAATAGGTAGTGTAGCAAAAGTACTATAATCATGCAAAGGCATTAAGGAAAAAATCCCACTACTGTTAAGATTACAAAGGAGACATGCTCTGCAGCTACAGAAGAAAATAAATGTAAATGAATCTCTTTTTATTGAGGTGTAGCTTCATTATTTTTTATAAAAGGGAGGCTGGAGTAATAGACATACTCCACATTTTCATTGCAAGAAAACACCAGTCAGATATTTCTTTGGATGGATAGAGGACAGAAAAACATGAAAAGCTGAAATAGAAAATCTTGGCCTGGTTTCACCTTGATTTCTTAGCTCACTTAACTGATAGCTGAGTCCCCAAACCACATTTTCTGAGATCAGGAAGATGACAGGAAGCCATGTGGAAGGAGGAATCAGCAGTGGGTTTTCTTTTAAATATTTATCATTAAGCATAATGTCCTTGTTCAACTATGTCTGGAAAGTTAGTCTAATTAAACAGATGGATCCCATGGAAGGATTAGAATATGTAGTCTGCTGAGTTTGAATGTTCGGTGTTGTTTATTCATTCAGTCACTTCCGACTCTTCGTGACCTCATTGACCAGCTCACGCCAGAGCTCCCTGTTGGCCGTCACCACCCCCAGCTCATTCAGAGTCAAGCCAGTCACTTCAAGGATAGCATCTGTAATAATGACTAACGACCATTCAGCCGTTGGCACCAATTTGAAGGATCAGAGTAGAGGATTTTATTTTCTAAGGCTCCAACTGGACACCAACACAATCCTGTCACAAAGCTCGATGTGTATTGAGGAAACGTGAATGTGTATTGGTAGAATTACTGCCACCACTCAAATAGATTTGAGAATTTATCTTGATGTTATGCCTGAGGTAAAGCTTGTTGTTCCCCAGCCCTTCCTTTAATATCCTTTAAAGTGTCTGAGGTAAAAAGATGTTAGAATTTACTGGAACAGACCTAATGGAATGAATCAGTGTGGAGACTCTATTGAAAGTTGAACTAGAACAAAGTTTATTTATATACTGGAACAAACAACTAAATTCTTCTTGGAGTTACACAAGTGTATATGGTTAGCCCAGCACAATCTTCTCAAACGGTTTCTGAGGCCTAACAAGCTTACTGGACTTCCCAACTGGGTATCTGTTCTTCAACATGAGCAAATTCCCTCTGACAGACTAATCCTGTCTGTCCCCTCAGAGTATCTAGCGTCCCTAGAATACCCTGTCCCTTAGAGAGTAAAAAAACAACCAGTGTGTTTCCACCCACACCAGTTCACAGGCAGCTATCGACCCTCCGGGCCACTCTCTATAGCCACACCTGCCTTCAAACACTCTCCCTCAGGAAAACTTCAGCTCACTCAAAATCCACCCACTCCCTTCAGATCAAAAATCCAATCTCTCTCCCTGTCAGAAGCTGCCTGCCTTTTTTACACTCACAGCTCCAGCTCCTCCCATCTGTCCTAGCCAATCCTGGGATAGCTAAGCTCCTCCCCTCTGCTGATCTGACTCTCCTTGTATTCCCTCACTAACATGGAGCCGGCTTACTGACTTTGAAGGCTGCGGCCTAGCCAGCAAAGGTACGAGTCCATTACCTCATCCATCCATCTTGCCCTTGGTCGGCCCCTCTTCCTTTTTCCTTCCATTTTCCCCAGCATCAATGTCTTCTCTAAGCTTTCCTGTCTTCTCATGATGTGGCCAAAGTACTTCATCGTTGTCTCTAATATCCTTCCCTCCAATGAGTAGTTGGGCTTCATTTCCTGAAGTATGGATTGGTTGGATCTTTTGGTCAGGTACTCCCTGATCAAAAAACTTGCACTAAATGACCTCAGTAGCACTTTATTTATGGTTTGTGCAATTAAATCCTTCCTCATCCCTGGATCCCCCTCCTAATGTTTGACATTGTCCTATCTCCCAGTGTTTTAAAATTTTATCCTGAATTTGGCCCTGCTCAGCGAAATCTTTTGTGTTTTAATGTCTGATTTTATATTGTTGTGTTGTTATTATTATATTGTTTTGCATTTATGTATTTTATTTTTTGGTTTTATTATGTTCTTGTGTTATATTGTTGTGTATTGTACTGATGGGCATGGCCTCATGTAAGCTGCACCAAGTCCCCTTGGGGGAGATGATGGAGTGGGGTATAAAGTTATTATTATTATTATTATTATTATTATTATTATTATTATTATTATTATTGTGGTCTCTAACTTTGTGCTCTCTAAAGGTCTGGGGCTATGAGGCTCCATATTTCTAATCACTGACCATGCTGTCAAGGGCTAATGGCATTAGAAATCTAAAACATTCATTGGTCACCAGATATAGGAACTGGGACAGAAGTAAAACATGGAAAGTAATTATGCATATCCATGAGAATGCCCCTAGAAAGGAACTGTGCATCACCAAACATTCCAGGTAACACTGGTTGGATCTTCTCACGGTCCAAGGCACTCTCAGAATTTTCCTCCAACACCACAGTTCAAAAGCATCTATCTTCCTTCGCTCAGTCTTCCTTATAGTCCAGCGCTCACATCCATAGGTTACCACAGGGAATACCATTGCTTTATGAATGTTCAGACTGTGTAAATAATAGTGCATTGTTGGTGTGTCCTCCTAAACTTCACAACTTATTGAGTTATGTGATTCTGGCCATGAAAGCCTTTGACAATACAACTTATAGAGTGCTGTCATGAGCCTGTTGTTGTTCATTCATTCAGTCGTCTCCGACTCTTCGTGACCTCATGGACCAGCCCATGCCAGATCTCCCTGTTGGCTGTCACCACCCCCAGCTCCTTCAAGGTCAGTCCAGTCACTTCAAGGATGCCATCCATCCATCTTGCCCTTGGTTGGCCCCTCTTCCTTTTGCCTTCCACTTTCCCCAGCATAATTGTCTTCTCTAGGCTTTGCTGTCTCCTCATGATGTGGCCAAAGTACTTCAACTTTGTCTCTAGTATCCTTCCCTCCAATGAGCAGTCGGGCTTTATTTCCTGGAGGATGGACTGGTTGGATCTTCTCGCAGTCCAAGGCACTCTCAGAACTTTCCTCCAACACCACAGTTCAAAAGCATCGATCTTCCTTCGCTCAGCCTTCCCTAAGGTCCAGTTCTCACATCCGTAGGTTACTACAGGGAATACCATGGCTTTGACTAGGTGGATCTTTGTTGCCGTGTGATGTCTCTACTCTTTACTATTTTATTGAGATTGGACATTGCTCTCCTCCCAAGAAGTAAGTGTCTTCTGATTTCCTGGCCACAGTCTGCATCTGCTTTAATCTTTGCACCTAGAAATACAAAGTCTGTCACGGCCTCTATGTCATGAGCCTGATCAGCTGCAAAAGAGAGGAAAAATGGAAAAAAATATTTTCTGAAAGCTGTTCATTTTGTCCTAGATTACCCCACATCATACATTTTAGCACACTTATTTTACAGGTTAAGATATTTCACACATATTAAATTTAAACATTGTTTTGGGGACCCATTCACACTGCACAGTTATAGAGCTATGATTCCATTTAACCCCTCTGCTAACATTCCATGGAATCCTTGGATTTGCTACTTAAGGAGGGCATTTAGAGTTTTCAACCTGAGAGCTCCAAGATCTCACCAAACTGACCTGCCTCCTCACTATCTTGCCTTCCAACTAGTAAACAACAGCAGCAACACCTTCCTCATGACTGATAACTGCAGGGAAAGGTTTTGGACATTGCATAAAGGGCTAAAAGATACTCCTTTTGGCCCTTGTACAAAAAAAATGACACATATGGGGAGTGCACCAGGGGGACTTTGCACTTCATGTACTTGATATAGGATCTTGTCCTAAAGTTTCGGGTAACCTGCTCTATACCCTGTAGACAAGCAACAAATGAAGTGAAGGTCATTATCCTATTACCAGTACTGAAGTAAGGCTCAGCTGCTAGTTCACTTGGTGGCTTTGTGAAATGTGGTGGACACCACCTTGTTCTTTGCTTCAGGTAGCAACACATCTTAAGTTAACTAAAAAATGGCTATTGGAATCACCAGCATGATAGGATGGCCAAGGTGGACAATGGATGTGAGAAATCGGGATTCAAATTCTAATTGTGTATTGAAATGAGTCTTAAGTCAATTCCTTAATTAGAGTAATTAGTTCAAAATATTTTTGACTCAAAGGGAATACCTGTTTAGTTATACAACATGGTTTTCCCAGATGTCGAATATTTCCCAAATTTATTTCTTTATTTCTTTACTGTATTTATATACCACCCTTCTCAGCCCTCAGGCAACTCAGGGCGGTTTACAATGGCAACGATTCAATGCCCCAAAACACCATACAACATTTTAAAACATTAACACATAATATAAAACCATAACAAGAATATTAAAACATAGATCATGTGCATCTCTTAATAAAAAAGATTGTCCTATCTCGTCATTCAGTCGTTCCAATTCCAATGTCTTTTACCTTGGCATTTTCAAATGCTTGCTCAACCAAGTCTTGACTCTTTTCTGAAATGTTAAGAGGGAGGGGGCTGATCTAATCTCCCCAGGAGGGGCATTCCATAGCTGAGGGGCAACCACTGAAAAGGTCCTGTCTCTCATCCCCACCAAACGTGTTTGTGACACAGGTGGGATCAAGAGCAGGACCTCCCCGTACGATCTTAAAGTCCTAGCAGGTTCATAAGGGAAGATACATTCAGACAGGTAAATTGTAATTAGTATTTAATATAAGTACTTCTACAAACCTCAGTCAGCAAGAGGTTTTCTCATTTCAGTTTTCCATAGAATGGAATGCCTCTTCAAAGGTGACAGTGTAGAAAAGGCATCCTCAAACTGTGGCCCTCCAGCTGTTTGGGCCTTCAATTCCCAGAATTCCTGACAATTGAACAAGCTTGTTATGGCTTCTGGGAGTTGGAGGGCCGCAGTTTGAGGATGCCTGGTATAGATCTTATATATGAAAGCATCACGTACAAACAAGAAAAGTGTAGATAATTTTCTTCAAAACAGTTGCCCTCATTGCATGCAAATATATGTAGATTTTGTTGAATAAATAAGCCTATAGTTAAGCTTCTTTAATTGGATGACATTTAAACTATGAAACTAATAGCTAGGAAGATCATGACCTTTCAGCCTGGCCTTCATCAATGAAAGGAAAAAGTTGGAGTATGGTCAATGGAAAGAGGTTGTGGGAGTTGTATTTGAAGACATATGACAATCCAATCCCCCCCCTTTATGGGGTGTAGACCTACCTTGTCAGTCCCCTAAGTAAGAACAAAACAGAAACCAAACACACTGGACTCATCCCATGTAAAAGTAAACACTGTGCTACCTACTGGCTAAATGTTGTAATGGTGCTATCCCCATAGCCATCTTGGGGAATACTATTTGGCACTCATTATACAATGGCCATGATAGAAATATAACAGATAAATCAAGTTCTTTTTCTCTCCTGTGAGTGAACATGAAATAGCTACTGTGATCTATATTCTAATTTGTTCTTTAGAGAGTTAAACTCTGAGCTATATATTTGACTTGAGTTCCTAACCAATTCTGTGCTGAAATGAAGGAAAGCTTTTTACTCTGCATTCATTTCAGTTCAACCTTTTAATGTGTTGCAGCAGGCGGCATACACTTGCCAAAGCTTTTAGCCTTTCAAATCCAGATCTGGATGTAAAAGGGCATTGCTGAGTCCCTGAACTACATATTTCATATGACCAAACCCTTATATTTTTATGCTTAATGCTGTGATAATTCTAGGCAGAGTACACTAATGCACAGATATTCTGTGCCTTTAGATGACACATGTTACTCCTTTCAAATGATCACTAAGCTATTGAGAAGTGGATAAATAAGTGATGACTTCAAAGTCCCTAAAATAAAAGATTAATTGGCATTTTGTGTGAAATTGAATATGGCTGCTAATTTAGGATGATTAACATATGTGGGTTAGATCTCCTTGAGAGTACATGTTCAGCATGTACTCTACGATCCATCTCGGAATTTAAGATCATCTGGGGAGGTCCTGTTCTCGGTCCTGCCTTCTTTGCAAATGCGTTTGGCAAGGACAAGAGAAGGAGCCTTCTCGGTGGTGGCCCCCCATCTGTGAAACTCACTCCCCAGTGAAATTAGGTTGGCGCCATCTCTCCTTTCCTTCAGGAAATAGCTCAAATCATGGTTTTGGGACTAGACATTTGGACAGCAGGCTTAGCAGCAATCATAGTTGATGTATGTGAACTGAAAATGGACAGGCTTTGGATTAAGTGCCTGAATGTTGAATCAAACTTGAATGCGGCCATATTATTGTTAATAATGTTTTTAATTTCCTATTTATATGTAGTGTTTTAATCAATGTTTTAATTGTGTTCTATTGCTATGTTGTGTGTTGACATAAAATTGTTGCCAGTGTAAGCCACCCTGAGTCCCCCCTCAGGGGTTGAGAGGAACGGGGTACAAATGTTTGAGATAATCAATAATAATAATGTTCAATCTAGAATTGTGGAGTTGTACAGTTACCTCAAAATGAAATCCACAGCTAAAGTATCTTCCATGGGGGGCCATTGTACTTCTAGAAGCATCTAACAAAGAGTGTCCACCATAGTTGAACTG